TGTTCTAGTAGAGTAATTTACACACACATGCTCACACTCGTGAGTTAGCCAGAAAGTGGAGCTGAGTTATGTTCAGTCACAAAGAAAGACATTGTAATGGGTTCTTCTTTTGGATTGTTTCAGTAAACCTATTTTTTGTAGCATATTGCATGGTGTGGCTTCTGTTTTTTTCTTCTTTTGACTAATTGTTACAATTTACCCCAGTATGTGTTACATCCTACCCCAGCAGTGGGGTAGATTGTAACAAAGGCACTCCATGTATTTCACATCAACTTATATGGGGTGTGATATTCTTGCAGAGGTTTCAATGGGTGCCTTTTGCAGTACACAAATGTGGGTACATTGTATAAATGTTTGAATACTCTAGTTTGAAAACTCTGTGAGTTACAGATGCTGAAGCAAAAAGTGATACAACCATACCCGGTCTCCCCCTACCTCATTAATCAGATCTGTCAAACTGTAGAGAGGGGCATTTTGCTAAATATATGCACCATATATCATTCATTATAAATTTGACTGTTCTTCAATGTTTATTTTATGTTTGAATAAATCCATCAAGTTTTTATGACAGCCACCATTATGTTTATATTTAAAAAAATGAATTGAAGTAGAAATATTATTATGTAATTGTAACTTTATTATTTTAAAAAAACTTCATTAAGTGTAATTTTAACAAATCAGTCAATTTTAACCTTCAATATTATAGTAATGTAGTACCAACTGACTCTCGTGTATATTTTACAACATTAGTTGAGAGATTTTTTTTTCCTTGAGAAAATTTGGCATGTACTATACCTGATATATATCCAAAATAATCTATATTGAATCGAATCGCAAGCTTGTGAATGAGAATCGAATCGAATCGTGAAATTTGTGTCAAAACCCAGCCCTAAGAGTTAGTGTTCATAATCTTATCTGAGACGAGAGCAAATTAAATGAGGGTACCACACACACACACACACACACACACGTATTTCATAAGAGCAGATCAGTCTCTGATACACGTAGCATTTTATCTTAGCTGTCAGCTAGATTTCCAAACACCCACACACCTGCAGAGCCCTTGCAGGTGAGCTAGCAGAGAGAGAGGAGCTGAATGACAGATGCGTGTGGTGGGTTTTTCTATGTTCGTGCGAGACAGTTCAGCAAAAATATTTGCGGTATCTCAGCTGTAGAGATCAGCAAAAAAGACAAGTCTTGCCATGAAGCCTCTCACTCTCTTCCTCTCTCTCTTTCTCTCTGTCTCAAGGATCATCTGGATAAGGCAATTGAGTTGAAACCTGAAGATCCTCTGTCATATTACTTGCTGGGCCGCTGGTGTTATGCTGTGAGTGACAGAGCATTTAATATTAGTGTGTTTGGGGAAATTCATGACATTGTGTTAGTTAAAGCCTGAATCAGGGTTCCCACGTTAAAAAAAAGCCTGGTAAAATCAGGGAAATGTATTTATTTTTTCTCTTTCAAAACTTAGGAAAAAAAATAATCATTTTAATTAATGGAACCGAATATAGAGAATATATACTAGTAAAGTTTGGGTTTGAAAAGATTTTTTAATCTCTTATGATCACCAAGACTGCATTTATTTGATCATATGTACAGTAAAAACAGAAATATTGTGAAATGTTATTACAATTTAAAATAACTGTTTTCTATTTCAATATATTTTAAAATGTAATTAATTTGAAAAAAGTCTTAGTCCAGTCTTCAGTGTCACATGATCCTTCAGAAATCATTCTAATATGCTGATTTGCTGCTCAATGAACATTATCAATGTTGAAAACAGTTGAACTTCTTAATATTCCTTGGTGAATAGAACGTTCAAAAGAATGGCATTATTTTAAATCTTTTGTAACATTATAAATCAATTTAATGTATCCTTGCTGAATAAAAGTACAGATTTCTTTAAAAAAAAAAAGTTTTGAACAATAGCATGCATATTTATTGTGAGTGCAGTCTGTTTAAATAAATAAAATACAATAAAAGTCTTGGAAATTCATTGGTCAAAAATGTGTAAACCCTGACTAAATGAGTGCTGCAAAAATATTGTTTTTAATTCTATCTATATATATATATATACTTTTGCTTGAGGTCTTGACTATTTTATTAAGGAACTTAATATTAATAATAAAAAATGACATTCGGTATTTTGCTGGCTCTTTTCCAAACCAAGTGAGCTGCCTTGCTTACTACCACCTACATATGGTGCTTTTCCACTGCATGGTACGGCACGGTACGGCTCGGTGGAAAAGCGCCAATAGACCTTCCAAAGCAGCATATATTAAGCATTAACCAATATGGAATGTTCTACTTGTAAAAAAATAAAAATCAAATAAATGCCATTAAAAAAATAATTTTAAAAAAAGTATGGTTTTCACAAAAAATATTAAACAGCATATCAACATCGATAATAATATGAAATGTTTTACCAGGTATTTTAAATTGTTATTATATTTCACAATATTTCAGGTTTTGCTGTATTTTTGCTTGTTGAGCATAACTGAATTAAGTGTTAAAGGAGACATATTATGCCCCTTTTTACAATATGTAATATAAGACTCTGGTGTCCCCAGAATGTGTCTGTGTAGTTTCAGCTCAAAGTACTCCACAGATCATTTATTATATCATTTTGAAAATGCCTATTTTGAGTGGAAGCAGAAACACACCGTTTTTCGTGCCGGTCTCTTTAAATGCAAATGAGCTTCTGCTCCCCGCCCCCTTTTCCTGAAGTGTTAGGTTAGGGTTAGGGTTGAACTCTAACCCTAACCTTAACCCTAACCCTAACCCTAGCTGCGCCTTTACAGCTCGTATCTGCTAAAAACATCTGTTTTGGTTCTGATTATCATGTTTATCGCGCTGAAATCATGCGTTTTAAACCATAT